ATTATTGCCGCATAGCTAGCTGTCTACATTACATTCTAGCAATTAAGCATATAGACAATAAACCTCTTGCCATATAACAGTATACAGATTAATTTGAATTAATAAATATACTATTGTTTATTAATATGTATTTTGTTGTAAATTATTTATTTTAATTATTATTGCATTAAAGGGAGGAATTAATTTTTATTTTAATGTAGCAGCATTAAGCAAAATAATATACAAATATATTATTTTAATTACTTTAGAAAATTTTAATAATTTATAAATTTATTTAAAAAGCAAATTAAGCAATTGGTTAGTGCAAAGTGAGCAATGTCAATTAGGGCTTGGTGCTTGTTTTGTGCAAGGAAATGGCAATGATTTAATGACCATGGTTTGTTATTTAGGAACATCTGCTAAGCATTCCTGTAATATAAATTAATAATATTAAAATTTTATAAAAGTTAAAAGTTAGTCAAAACATACAATATACTGATTCCACTTCTCATTTTGATCGCTCTCGGTCCATTTGAGCGATACTTTGTTGTAGCAATTCATTACCTATCAATAAGTGTTAGATAATGATTAATAATCTTGTAATCTAATATAAATATAAGTAAATTATTATGATCATTTTAATAAAATTACTTTAATATTGCCATAAAAATCGCATGTGGCCGGTTTACTGCCAATTTTAACCTTGCTCTCTGTTCGGCAATCGTTAAGCACTTTCAATAACTAGTTTTCAAAATAATTAAATGTAAATAATATCTAATAAATTTATAATATCTATATATTTAAAAATAATTTACCTCGGTGGCATTTTTGGCGCACGCCTCGACCTCGCCAACTTGTTTGTCCGTCAATTGTTTATCGCACAGGTGTTCAAAGCCATAAACTGAACCAACTTTCATAACACACCACTTGATTATACCAGGGTAATCATATAAAAATTAATGCTATTTTTAGTTTTGCTTTAAAACAAACTGTAATCTTAACAGTATTTTCTATTTATTATAATCTATGTTCTTAATTATTATATGAAATCTGGGGTAAAACAGTTTAATGATGCTAATTTTTTAAACATAATGATTAATTACTATTAAAGTAAACTATTAATTTATATTTTATATTCCAAGCTTAATTTAATAGCAATTTAATTTTAATTATTATAACCGATATTAAACATAAAATATATTATATTGTTAATATTGTCAAAACTGTAACTTAATAAGTATGTTTTATTTGTTAAAATTTATGATGATAAGTATTATACGATATTTGGGGCATTTCATATTTGGATAATTGATTATGTTAAACATGTTTATTATTTACTAATTCTAATTTCTAATGCCATTAAATTTTTAATGCGGTGATAGTATGACCTGGGCTATTATTTATTTATCAATGCTTACCTCAAAGTCATTTTCCACGGCATCAATAGCGTCAAAATCCTCGTCCGCGGCGTTTGCCATATACTTCTTACCGTATATCTGACCCAACTTACTGAACATACAGTCCATCACCTAAGTTAGCAAGGTAATCACATTTTACCATGTTAATTATTTATTAAAATAATATATAAATTAAGGTTAAACTACTTTAAACTCCTTTTCATTTTGATAGTACGAACAAATGGTGGGTTTATTATCGGTCAACGTATAGCCCATCACTTCCTTTAGACAGATTGTCAGCAATTTCTTTCGCTAAATAATAATTAATTTAATTAATTCTACTTAATTATAAATTAATCTAGGTCAAATTTAACCTCGGGTCTCATCAAGTTATCGCATTTGAACAGGGCCTGGGTCTGAGCCTGGGTGGCATTGTCCTGACAATATAGCCGCCCCGTCAGTGTCCACGAGTATATACTCAGCCCATAGGCATAGCTTAGGAAACAGAAAAATAATACCTGATATATGATTAACCACTTTTGCATATCTATGTCAGTAAATTACTAACAAAATTACATTAAAGTTTTAACTATATATTCAACCAAATAATGTTTTTTAGTTACAAATAAAAGTTATTTTTGAATGGAAACTTGTTATAATGTTACAAATATATTATGTGTTTACATTGTATATTGTATTTATTTTTATTATTGATTTAATAAGGTGTAAAATGTTATTGTACTTTTATTACGATCGATTTTATTGATACTTAACAATGCAATGTAGTTTTTATTTTACATATTCAGTACACAAATTATTATGATGGTGATATAAATTATTATAGTTTATAATAGTTGTGTGTTTAACCTGTCTTCTGCTGAATAGCTATTTATGTTAATGTAAACGTATATTTCTACCATATTTCATTCATATTATAATAATAGCTTGATTTATATACATTTTTAGCTTGTAATCATATTGAATATAATGTTTAACATATAATTATCAAGTCAATATTTTTAAATTTGTAACACTTTAAAAAATGTTTTTGAGTTATGTTTTATCATATGTAATCTGTGTAATCTGATATTGTATTAAATTGTAAATTATATAAACTTTATATGAATAACAAGAATATGTTTGTAAATTTTATTCATCAACAGTTGTTTAAATATTGTATATAATTGGTATTGCTATTAGATTAAAATAAATATAATATTCGTAATGTTATAAATAACATATACTTAAATGTCCATTATTTTTGCTCATTATAACATAATAAAAATAAAATAAAATAAAACAAAATTCACTATTGGTAATTCAAATAGCATGAATAATGCACAATGTAAATTTATTGTTGTAGTAAATGTTTTATATTTTAAACAACCTTGGTTAAAACTTAATAAAAATATTAAAACCCAAAACATTATTTTTTATAAAAATAGTTGTCTAGCCTATAAAACGTTACGCTAATTAAGCAAATATTCTCAACTTGGACATTTAATAATAAAAATAAATATTACCAAAAGAATCTTTTAATAACAATTGTTCTTTAGTAATAATAATTATACCATGTTACAAAGAATATAATTAATTTAATATATTATCCTTATAATAAGCAACAATTAAATTTATTAAACTACCAAGTGTCCGGGACAGTTATAATTATATGGTACATGGTATTATTATTATTTCGCAAAATGAAATACAACAGGTGTTACAAAGTGTGTAATTTGTCACTTATATTCATTAATAAAATAGACAAATAAATAACCATTTATTAATATTATTAATAAATATTTATGGTACTTTTTTTGTTATGGATAAAAAATAGAAAAATAACAAACATGCACTCTCACCTATGCCAATTAATGAATTACATAAATAAGCTAGTTTATTTATTGAATTTGGTGCTTTTCTAAAATTATTTTTATATTATCTATTAACTTTATATGAACATAAAAATAGTTAAATAATTATACAAAAATTGCTGATATTTTTTTACAAAGTTGGACTCTACATTCTGTGTATTATATTAATGTTTTACTGTATAACTATTGATTAATTAATTATTTCAATTATACCACATAATGTGTCCTTTCAATAAATTATTATTCATGCAGGTACATTAGTCTTTTATATACTATGTAATTAAGCAATTAAGATATACAACTATATGTTATTGTAGTTAAATAGTTAAAATAATTTTTATTTGTATATGTACACGTATAAATCTTAATAAATTATTTTTAGATATACACTAATAATTAAAGTCTAATTGGTACTTGGTTATATTGATTGCAAATTTCATAATAAAGTTATTTAGCATAAGTGACAACTAGTTTAAAATATTTACATAATAGTTAATGCACCATGGATGACAATTTTGTAGCTCAAATAAATCGCTGTAAAAGCTATGAATTTGGCGATACATTATTGGGCGATATTACGAGTAATTTATCTCTCATTGCATTTGGATTCAGTAACGTATGTGTTATTATAAATTCATATATAATATGTAAAAATGTTTTATCATCATGATCATTTATTTTAGTCAATTTGTTCATTTGAGAGCGAAATACTAAACACGCTAAACAAAGGAACTTTCCATAAGTTTAACATTACTGTCCGTTTAATGAAAGAATGGCAAAATATACAAACATATATGGAAAATAATACTGTACATATAATTACCTAGTCTATAATATTAATTTATATTTTATAAAGTAACATTAATTATTATTGTAAATAATAGTCTGTAGACTTGGCGCTGGCACCGTGGGGTGTAGACAAAAATTTTATGACTTTTGCAAATGGTCAATGGTATAAACAAGGATACAACATGGCCATTATGAGCAGATTACATAGGGAGAAAACTGATCTACTATCAATGCTCAGAATATATTCGTTAACAACCTGGTTAATCATACTATTATCATTCATTATTGTTTCAATCACTAAATACGTTACTGATAAAATTTGTCAAGGTATATTTTTAGAAGTAATATTTATATTGTATTTTTATATCATATATTAAACAATATTGTAATATACAGTATTAAAAATAGATTTTTAACTCTTACCTGCAGATACGAAAATAATCATAATAGATATAATGTTTGAACGAGTTCGACACCTTTTAAATCAGAGCATGATTAGTCGAAATCATAATACACTAACTATAGTATGGTCGTTTATGGCATTTATATTAAGCACCTGTTTTAATAACGCTATTTTATCGTCAATTGTTAACCAAGATTTGACTGCAATAAACAGTTTAGAAGAATTGATCAAAAGTAACCTAAAAGCGGTTGTAGTCAATCAGTCTGCAGTTTACTGGTTATACAAAAATCATTTTGAATATAACACATCGTTGAACAGAGATTTGAAAACACTGTGGGACTTGAATAGGGTGACTTTTGTAGATGACGAGCATGTTGAACCACATGTTTTAAAAGTATAAACTAGCTAACATTTATATTTATGTAATATAATTTATGATAATTATAATTATATAATGCTAGAAAATACATCGCAAAATTTCCGATAGAAAGTTGGTATATTTACGAGATAGAGATGCACTCTGGGAACGCAAACAAACTAACCTCGAGCTAAGTTTGACACTGAGTCAAGAGAATTATTTCCCAAACCTTTTGGCCCACCCGGTAAATAAAGTGCCCACAAAAGCCCGTGGTCTATTGCTTAAAATGTATGTTTTTAATTATTGTTAAAGTATAAGAAATTAATAACAAACAAGGAATTATGATTTTATTAATAACAATTAATTAATAGTGAATTTTTAATGTTTTTTTGTTTAAAAAATCTGATTTTAAATAATATAAATAAAAGTATCAACTCTAACTTAATAGTTAATTAATTACATTTATGTAATTATTACATTTTAATCAGGATCAATATACTGGTCGAGTCGGGCGTTAATCTAATTAGTGAAGAGAGACATCGTTTGGCGTATAAAATATATGGCCATCATTTGCTAAGCCGGGAGCTAAGGGTTAATAATAAATATACAATGAGATATATGCTAGATCATTCTAACTACCAGGTGGGTGTATCTAGGGTTAGGGCTATTGAGCTATCACTATTATCTGATATGTTTATAGCTATGTGCGTTTGGTTTGCATTTATCATCTTTGTTTTTGCAATTGAAGTGACTGTAAATTATTTAAAATTAAATTAAGTAATTTTTCAAAATATTGTAATAATACTTTAAATACTTTACTATTAAGCCCAGGCAGTTAATGCTAAAACTCTCATTTATCAAGTAGTGATATAAAAGCCTCTATAGTCACATACCATTGCCATCTCAGTCAACACAATGTATGCCATGCATATGCTATGCATAAAATTGTGTTGACTGAGATGGCAATGGTATGTGACTATAGAGGCTTTTATATTACTACTTGAAAGCCGTAACCTTGAGCCGAAAGTGCCTGGCCCTATTTACTATGAAGTTATCAATATTTTTATTTATATCGATAATTTACCCGGTAGTTATAGATATTTAATAAATCATTCTGGTAATCTAACAACTACCCTGACAAGTTTGGACCATTCACTTGTTTGTAAATTACATGGTAAATTATGGTAAAATATGGTAAATTGTTACAATAATACTTTTATTATTTAGAGGTTAATAATTTACTAGGTAGGGAAACCACAGAATGAGTCATTTAATATACAGACTAAGCAAAAACCATGAATTAGTCAGAAAATCATAACATATAGTATTTAACTAATGCTTTAAAATGAACAAATAGTTGTAATAGTCATTATTGTGCTCAAAACTATGGAAAAAGCATCCAAAAAGCATCCGAACGGTTTGCCTATTACTAGGTTAATAATTTGTACATAAATCTATATTTAGTAATTTGTGTATTTTTAAATCTATATAAGTATAGTAGTTATATAATAATTAATATACAATGTTATAAAAATTGGCTTTTCTATTATCAAACAAGTGACCGTAAATAAACTATGTTCATTAATATAGTGCTGACTTTGCTTTATGTTAATTAAGCAAGTTTAAATGTTTATTAACGAAGCTTTCCAAAATTTGGGAATTTCCGTAAAACATGATTTATTGATTAATTTTAGCCGAAACTTTTTAATTGTTGTACTTTCTTAAAACTGTGATTATACTTTAGATCTACAAAACAGTATAATTCATTTGTCTGTATCTATTCCCGTCCCGGAGAAATCCTCACCCGAAGAGTGCAACTTCGGAAAACCTTTTGGCACATTGACCTGGTCACTTTTATAATAAGGAAG